GAAAATAAACATATTTTTAGGTTACGGTAGTTGTTGTTGTGGAACCGGCGTTTCTCTTCCACAGTTCCGATTTTTTGTATCAGAATAATTTTTCGGTTGGAATCAATAATTCAAACTTCTAAAATACAAATTGAGTTCGTACCTCATTTGAATACTGTTCAAACCTGTCAAATAAAAAAATGGACCTAATTTTTGTTTTTGAAACTACTGCAAATTGGCTTTCAAATCAAGCTGATCCTTTTTTTTCTCATTTCAAGATTGTCGAGCATTTGCCTCCGAAGTTATTAGCCTTAAATTCTGACGTTTCGATTCTTTTACAAGGGCGAATCATCCCAGCGAGTTGTGCTTGAGGTGGAATTCAATACATTTTTCTCAAAAATTTTCAAAAAATTAGCTACCCGGGCCGACCGGGCCGGGTCACCGGGTCGGCCCGGAATTTGACAAGTATGGAAAACGCGGCCGCAGAAAGAAACTGCGGCTGGCACCAGTTGATCTCAAAAACCGAAAAGAGAACGAGTCAGAGGGGTGTCTAGCACGATTTGAAAGAAGGCAGTGCCATAAGCGGCGATACTAAAGAATTGCGCAAGGCAGTTGGCAATAGCGTTGGGGTATGGGAAAATTACATTTCGTTAAAAAATCCTGTTGTGCAAAGATGGAAAGCTAATATTTCGCTTCTCTGAAGCACTTCTGAACTTGCGACTGATCAAAAATCCATCAAAGACATAGAACCGAAAGAAACAATGCACAAAATCTGCCACACACAACTGAGGAAAGAGAGGCAGAAAGTACGTCTTGACAGTCTTGGTCGTCTGATGATAGGAGGAAATAGAGACATACGCATATGTGGGCGCCTGTAGAACATTCGGAAGTAAAAGAGGGGCAACTAGAGGGCCCAGAAGGCTGCATACATTGGTACAGAGGGGCACACACGCATAAGAGCGGGAGAATGATAGAAACCGCGCCGATGGGAAAATGGACAAACAAAAAAACTAACGGGGGTGGCGCCGGACGGAGAAATGACGGGATTGGGTGGAAACGCCTTGGGGTACTGCAGACAAACTTTTGAGTACTGTAGAAAGGTAATTGGTACTGTAGAGAACCAATTAATTATAGTTTCAACTAATCCCTGGTACTCTAGGAAAACCGTGTGAAATGCTACATTTCCACATTTATGATCAGTCCTGGGACTGCGCTCAGTGAAATACAAAGCATACCCTAAAATCTCTAAGCAGCTGTAAACAGAAACTGGCAGATTTGTTGAATTATACGATACTAACAGAATCAACAGAAAGTTTTTATTCTGATAAGAAAAACTTCGAATAGTATAACAAGGGAACAAGGGAACCTCAACACCTTGTAAATCTAAATTTCGATGGAAGTTTTAGGGTAGGTTAGGAATAGCCTATCTAGTCACTTATGAAAATTGTAAAATCCGCTTGCCAATTCCAGTCAAGTTTTTTTTTTCAGTTTCAATACCGAAAACCGCGTTTCAGTGAAAAATAGCGACTTTTAAAAACGATTTTCCCAATTGCTAGGACGTTTTAGAACCTGACATTTGTTTTGTTATACCTGAAATTGAATGCAACTTCGTATTTCAGACATTATCTCAATTTTTTCAATTTCCGAATAAATCTCAAAAAAAAAACTGCTTTTGAGACAATGTCTGAAAAATATGAAATTTCAGTCAGTTTTGAATATAACACAATGAAATATATTTTCTCGATCGTTCCGGGAGTTGAGTTAGAAGTTGAAGACTATTCTTAACCTATCCCGAAAATTTCCATCAAAATCTGGGTTTGCAAGGTGTTGAGGTTCTCCTGTAAACAAATTTTCACAGAACAAAATACTTGAAATGTGCAACTAGACGTTAAGAGCTGCCAGCGCCTCTTTCTTCTCATTTTCGATCATGGCCATTTTCAGTTGAAATTGTTTCTCCAATTTCTCCATCTCCATGTCCAAATTTTGGCGGGTTGACTCTTGTTTGATTTTGATTCTTCCCTCGTTGAGCTTGATCACCTTATTTTTATGGCGCTCTAGATATTCGTCCAGCTTGTAGGTACAACGAACGATGACAAACTGCTCAACGGCTTTCACAGCATTCAACGTGCTTGCAGATGTGTCCAAACGGCTTACAAACAAGTCGGCATTGTAGTTGATATTGAGGATTTCTTGTTCACACTTCTTTTTCTCATCTTTTTCATAATCCAGAAGTCGTTTGGAAATGGTGTCGAGGAAACCTGTAAATTATGGGTGTCTTATTGGCTCATAAAGTGTTTAGTACTTACTAGATTTGTGCTCCATCAGACGACAGAAGAAGAAATCCAAGTCATCCTTTTGTTTCGAATTCATATCCGGAACTGAAAACGGGAAAAGTTTTCTTTACGAAAAGATACCCAAAAATCTCCAGCTAACTCGAAAGTTACTCACCGGCCTCTTCGAACAATTTTCGGATCTCGGATTGACAGGTTTTGAAGTCCATTGGTTTTTCGGAAGGATTTGAGTCCGTGGTTTCAAGAATCCCCAGTTTCGAAGACATCTGAAAATTGAAATTTCAATATTTGAACTTTTTTTTGCATCATTCTGGCGAATAAGGGTAATCTCTCTCTATGGGAAAGAGTGCAATGGGAAGAGATAAATGGATAGGTAGCAAGGGAACAGTGAGAGGAACGCTGGTTTTCGAATGTCAATGTCACAAAAAATGAAGGAGAGAGGGAGAGACGGAGAGACGTTTTCCTCCTGCAAATGCGTTAGCCATAGACAACGGAATGGAGTAATGAAAAGCAAACAGTACGAAAAACACGAGAAAGCGAGAAGGAGGCATACAGTGAAAGAAGTAACTCTTAGCTACTTTATGTGGTCAAAAGCAGGAGCTATCCACTTTCATTATAAATTCAAGTCTACTATCAATTTGGATTTCTGGTTAGGGTGTACGACCGGATTGCAGTTGCAAAACAAAACAATTGAACTATGGAACAGCGTGGTCAGAAACAATCAAAATTCCAATAAATTCGAAGTTCAAATAATCCCTCGTTTCAAACTGATAGAGTTCTATTCTGATCTGTTCTGCTCCTCTCAATTTTATCTTTTGAAAGTTCCAATGCATCCAGTTTCATTTTGCTTGTCTTCTCTCGTAACAGTTTTATGCTGCAATGTTTTATTGCGTCGTACCACTTTTGTTTTTGACCGAAATGACGTGTCCGGAATTTCCTATCGAGAAATGTCACGAAAAGTGGTTGTGACCGAGTTTGTGTTAATTTGAGTTGTATATAGATTTGACTCAGACTATGAGAAACGAACTCGGCCGTATTGCTAGTATGTTTCAAAACGACTCGAAGAAATCTATTTCTTACTATGGAAACTTTTCTGTCTGTCCATGCGTCTGTCTTGGACATTTACGTAAATAACTTCTCACAACAGATGACTCCTAAAATGGTGTGTGGTGTGTAGCCATGGAATACCAAACGCTTCATGTTCATGCTGTCTCGGGGTTTCTAGCTAATAGGGAACCTTCAAAATGGAGAAGTGATGATATGCTAAAAATTAGTTTTCATGAAATTTCATGTTTATGTGCTGAGCATCGAAAAATCGGATGAATGGGTATAACAAGTTCAAATCGAGCAATGATTTAGAGAAATGGAGCGAATTTGGAAATCGCGTGATACTATTGCCTTTTTCGGTGTCTCTTTTATTAAGCAAGTCGTGAGAAAAGTCAAGGAAGGAGTACGGTACTCTAGTCGAACTGCAAAAAATGAAAAAGTTGAAAAATAGTAAAATGAGAAAAGGAATGCTTCAAAATTTAGTTATTAGGTCCAAGTTGTCAGGCGCGAATTTTTTTACCTTTTTCAATCAAAAACGGAGAAAGTAATCTAGCCTGGAAAAAAGGGTGGCCTTGAAACACCTAGCTCATTTTTATGACAATTACCACGCCGTATACATTTTTGAGAAGACTACTGGCGCAGAAGACGTCTGGTATATTGGATTTCGAAAGCTGCTAATTTCGGATACGATATCTTCTTTCACACTATTTGGATTATTTTATTTTCTCGCCCCCACACTTTATTATTCATTTCTCCTTTTTCGACACTGTGAACTGATAGAGGGGTGATACGTAGTACCATTCAGAACACACAGGCACTCACCTCATCCTCCTCTCCCCCGTTTCTTTGCCCAAACAGCAATAAAAAGTATCTGCGCTCAATTGCACTCCATGCTCCGGTGATTGCGCAACAAAAATCATCTGGAGGTTTCTCAACAGTCTTTTTTTGTTCATTCGTTTTTTCTCTGCCGGTTTTCTGACTTCTCTTCGTAATTATTTTCAGATATTTTGTTGAAAAGAAATAGTTTACAATTCTTAGTGTAAGTAATGATTCTTGTTTGGCGCGGATGAACCTTGTGGCGAAAAATTTACATGAAGGCGCATAGCCGCTCCTTAATCGAAAACACTTACGATTTTTTACAAATAAATGTGTGCGCTTTTGATACAGTACTTCAGAATTATTTTGTTTTTGCCTATATTCTCTCAGATTTTTGCTTGCTTTTGCTTGAATTCTTCAGAATCTCATGAATAATCATCCGATTTTTCTTGTAAAGTAGAAAAACTGCCTAAATGGGCCAGAATAAAATAATTTGGAAATTCTGTATTAAAGGCCACAAATTTCTTTGTAAAAACTGTAGCTGTTTTTGTTTCAGTACCGGCTATTTGCCTTCAAATAATTTTTCCGCCCCAGGTTCATCGGCGCTGGACAAGAATATTATTGATGTTTACTGTAAATGTTGTAACAATGGAAAGGCCACCATTTTTTAAACTGTTTTTGAAACAAACATCATTCGCTTGATAAAGTATTTCGACAACTTATCTTTTGTGCTTCCCTAGATGTACTGCTCTTATTGGACATCCTACTTTTTCTTCTCTCGAAATTCTCGAAATTCTCTCTGCCCTACACTAATGAGCTGCTCGCGCCCTCATCAGCAGAAAGATCAAATCATCTCCTGAAATTCTTCTTCCGGCGGTGTCCATAGTAATTTTTTATTTAGAAAAAAACCACGCCTTCTCGCTTCCACTTTGACGTCTAATTACAAATTTCTCAACCCCTCTCACTATTCCCCTTTGACTACTAATTACTTTATCATCAAAAAGTGTGCTATTACCCTAGCCCTTTTTTTCTCGTTTATATTATACTCTCTAGCTCTCTTCATTTCTGCCTACCTAACTCGTTCTCCTCCCTAAAAAGAGGTCTTCTGCCGCTCCCAATAACCATCGTCCGGTCTCTCTTACTGACCCATTTGTCCGTGTTTCTAGACGTCTACCTTGTAACTCTGTTGAAAATGTCTTTCTCCGTAAGTTTAGTAAATATTCAGAAAGGATTTTTGCAATCTGATCGTATACTATCTCATCGATCAATTTAGTTACTGATCTCAAATCTATCAGAACAAAATCCCGTTGACATCATTTTTTTTCGATTTCCAAGAGGAATTCGACCAGGTCTACTATCAATTCCTTGTTTGTCTGGTTTTCATATTTTGCTAGGCGCCCTATGAATCATTCAGCTTCGACACAACTCTTCCAAATATTTCTCAGCCATTATACCTATTATGAATGCTATGAAGTCATGTGAAGTCTTATACTTCAAATGAATTCCGCTATTGTGTACTCTCTGCTCATTTCAATCTTCTATTTCCCTATTCATTCCGTAGATAACCTTATGGAAGATTTTCTCAAAACCACATGTTTATGTACTATCATTTAACTTCTGAATAAATAAATTACAAAGTACGTGATTTTTTCTTACTGCTTGTGAGCCACATCTTTAATAGGAAAATAGCTTAATTAAAAACTCAAAACTTTTAGATGTAGTGTTAATTTGTCCCGAAAATGTGATCAATTTTTTATTTAACGTGTTTTCAGGTTAGAGAAAGCGTCAGTTCTCGAAGTGAAGTTCAAACGCTAGCTCCGCCCCGTTGGATGTCAAACCATCATGCTCCAAACTTTGTGGCTTCGCAGGAAGTTGCTCGCTATGATTCACAGAATGACGTAATGCCTAATACCGGTGAAAGAAATGGATATTCTCCACGTCCTGTTCATAATGGTCCTCGTTTGGGGCAGCCTGTTCCGAGCCGTATTTTTTCGCGTGAGGGGAGAATGTATGATACACACAATTTCGGGATGCCAAACAACTTTGAACCGAATGGATTTACCACACGCCGTGTGCAGGATCCTTTCTTGACGAGACATCCTGCTCCAAACCGCATGATTTCGCGTTACGCTGAAGTCTACAATCCACGAAGTGTCATTCCACCAAATTATTCCGAATCAGCTTACATGGCTCGACACATTCATCCAGCTCCCGACCAGGTATGAATCATTCGTGGACATCACAATCCATATAACACTCTTTTACAGCAAGATTACAACGATCCCGCAGCGCATTATACTACACCACCGATGAATGGACCATCCCATCTGAACACGGTTGGCAACAACGGTTCTGGGAACCATATCAGCCCATACCATTATGATACTACTCACCGCGTCACACAACGCCGTCGTCAAATATCATCGGTGGACCTGTATTTCAGTATTTCGGAGCGAGGCTCCAACCCCATGCGTGATCTTCCAGATTCCTCGAGCTGGGATGCTGTTGATCCGTACAATTTGCCTCAATTCACGTGAGTTGTAATATTTTTCAACTTTTTCTTAAAACATCCACATTTTTAGTTATGACCTGCTGTTGCAATTGTCGAGAGAGCACCGGAAAAAGTTCACCAATTACTTGTGGGTTTGAAACATAAACTAGTTTTTGAATACAAACAATATTTCAGCGTCGCTCTCAGTCTATCAGACTCGTTCAGCTATCGTATGGAGTGCTGGTTGTCCGAAACGAAATAACATGTTCTGCTCGTTGTTCCATGGTTAATCCATAATTTCCATAATTCGGTTTCTTCTGATGTTACGAAGGTTTTTTTTTAATTTATAAAGTTTTTAATCCTGTGAATAAACCCCAGTTTCGGTTTTTAGTCTGATTAACATTAAGCTGAGACAGAGTTTGAGTTACTGTTGAGCTGTAATTGGCATGAGAACAGTGGATAATTTATGAGATACCATAACGATCATTCCTAAAATGCACGATCATTCCTAAAACGAATGTCCGGCTTCAAAAACTTCTCTGTCTCTCGAAAGAGTAAATATTTCTTAATGTTGAACAAACTGTTATCTGTTAAAATACAACTTTCTATCTCCCACTTTCTAGAAAAACTTCTCTAGAAAACTAACTAATTTTCATTTATTTGTATAGAGTTTTCTTAAATTTTGTACTAGAGAAACGAATTCAACTGTATTGCTAGTAAGTTTGAAAACCTTTTCAAAAATATGTCCAAAAGCTGCTAATTTTGGAAACGATATTTTCTTTCACCGCTTATTCTGTTTTTTCCCCACACTTTTCCCCCTCTTTTTACCGCACTGCGACCCGCATACGTAACATACAGACCACGGACCATACAACACACAAAAAACTCATCCTCCTCTCCCCCTTCTCTATTCCTAGTTAGCAATAAACATTAATTAGCAAATAACAGTCCATTGCACACTAATCGCCAGTGTCGATGCAACAACAGATATTGGGAGATCCCTCGTTGCGCGCGGCCGCAGTCATTTTTTGTTCACTCGTTTTCTTTTCGCAAGTTCTCTGCATATTTTTCTCGTTTCTGTTCCGATTTTTACTAAAAAGTAATATTTCACAACTTTCAGGGTAAATTCTTAATATTTCCGCACGATGGAACCACAACCCATTCCGATCCCACCAGCCGCCTTTGTTCTCAACGAAAACACTGAATCTTCAATGGTAATTTGTTTCGTTATGATGGACTATTAAAAAAGTATACTACACAAGAAAGTTCCTCAACTTATTCATATTTTCTTTTTCAAAATCAAAAGTCGAACAGTTTAAAACAAACCCATTGAAATTTTGGAACATTTGATATCACTTACCGATTTTTGAACATGAATGAAGTCATTTTTTTGCATGAACTCTGTTCTCTCATTACGTTTGCCAAGAATACGTTTTAAAGTTAAAACCTATCTTCATCAAAATTACCTTTTATTTTCTGAGAAAGGTTCCCATCCTCTGTGAATTTGTATTTTTCTTTCTGACCAGTAATCAATATGTGTGATAAGAACAGCTCAATTAACAAAATTTTCTGATATTCACGACCAATTTTCATCGAAAGTGCGAATAATTTTTCATGTGACCTATTTTCAGATATCGCAGTGGAAAGAACTGGACACTTCCTATTCTGACATTCCGATGCCAGCTGCGCCTCATTTGATGACAGTTGATCATGCTTCAAACCACCGCCTGGGTTTATGTGACGTTGCTCTCCGTGGTCCACGGAATGTTGTGATGCCGAATAGCGCCGAACTAATTGGAAGTGCTCCACGCCCTGTTCAGAATTCTCCCATGCTAAGTCAGCGTGCTCAGGAGCGTGTGGTTTTGCAAAATAGTAAAGGCGTAAATCATGTTGATTTATCGAATGTTACCGAACCAGCTCGACACCCAGGGCATAGTCATGGAATGGTTACTCCCGACCAGAAGATGCAGAGAATTGATGGATACCACAATCCAAACAACATTAATCAAAATCAAGAGTACAAACATTCAATTTATGTTCCACTTCATCCTACTCCAACGATGCTTGGACTTCCAACTGCTTTTGCTCCGAAAAGTTACAACGGCATTGCTGAAATTCTTGAAAAAGCTGAAAATCCCACCCCAGCAGTGTCCCGGCAGATGACTGAACATAATAATACTCAGCTGACACCTCAAGACCACATGATACAGAGAAATTATGAATATCAGGATTCATTCTACTTCTTCCCACCGCAAACGAACAACTATCCAATGCATGCTCAACTGTATCCTTCTCCACCGATTTTTGAAAATCCTCTTACAACAACATTGTCTACTGGAGCGGACAATTTCATCCTGGAATGTCTACCCGCGTCACTCAATACGGTCTCAAAACTCCATCTGAGGCATCAATGGAGATGTTCGCTAGTCTTTCACAGTGGGGCTCAAACCTCATGCACGATTTCTCACATTTCACCAGCTGGGACGTCAATCCGTACGATATTCAGTACATGTCGTAAGTTATGATATTTTCACTTTTGATCTGAACCTTCACAGTTTCAGTTTCAACGAAATTTCGGATCTGGGAAGAGAGCACCGGAAGACTTACAGCCAATACTTGTGAGTTTAGACTAACAATTATTTTTGAAAACACATAAGATTTCAGTATTTCTCTCTTTTTCGCCGACTCCTTTCGTTACCGAATGCAATCTTGGTTGGCGGACACGAAGCAATGATGCGATTAATTATTGAACCTGTTGAATTTCAAATCACCCGTTTCTCATCACGTTTTTTTCTAGATTTTAGATTGTGAAAATTTCATTTTAACTATATGATTATGATACCGTAAAACCTCTAATAGAACGACACCCGGATCGTCCACTTTGAGCCTATATATCTCATTTTCTGTGAAAGATATCAAAACGTGGCTAACTAGTAAAATGTTGCTGATATCCTG